CTCGTGGAAAAGATAAGATTGGAGAAGAACTAAGCGCTCTCCGTAATTCATTAAATGAATCATCACACTGCTTATCCCAAACAAATCTCGCTTGAGTTTCAGTTAACTTATAAAGCGGCTTTGCTAGCGAAGAAAATCCTTTAACAAACTTTCGGTAGTAAGAACATAGACCTAAAAAGCTTCAAAGATGCTTTTTGTTTCGTGGGATTGGCCAATTGATTATGGCAGCAATTTTTTCTTCATCTGTAGAAATTCTCTCAGACGAAATAACATGCCCCAAATATTTTACCTTTCGTCCAAAAAGAATACATTTTTTGGATTGATCTTTAGATTTACCTCTCGCATTCGTAAGAATACCTTTTTTAAATTTCCTATCATTTCTTCGCAACTTTCACTAAAAATAATCACATCATCAAGATAGACTAGACAAATTTTTGAAAGTAATTCCTGAAGAATCTGTTCCATTCTCGCTCTAAAGTCGCCGGAGCATTACACAAACCAAATGTCATTACCTTAAACTGCCATAATCCATTTCCGACCGAAAATGTTGTTTTTTCTTTATCTTCCGGTCGAATTTTAACCTGCCAGTATCCACTTTTCAGATCTAACGTGGAATACCAAGAGCTACCTGAAAGTTGATCGAAAATATCATCTATCCTGGGTAAAGGATAAGAATCCTTTTTAGTAACCGCATTTAACTTGCGATAATCAACACAAAATCTTATCGTCCCGTCTTTCTTTTTTACCAAGACAGCTGGTGACATCCAAGGACTCACGGATTCCTCTATTACTCCCTGTTCCCTCATTTCTTCAATAATTTCATCAACTTTTTCTCTCATATGAAACGGAACTCGACGTGGAACCTGTTTAATGGGAAGAGAATTTTTTAAGTTAATTAAATGTTCACCCACTTCACAATTTCCTGCGACAATTTGCTCAGAAAATACATCACTAAATTCGTTTAGCAATTCTGCAAAAAGTTTCTTTTGTGATTGCGTTAAATATTCGGAATCTTTCTCAAAAAGAGACCTCAAATTCGAAGGAACATCAAAGTCAAATTTGTTTACGCGGAAACATTGAACGTCATTCTTCTCTTCTATACATAACGATGTTTCTTTTTGACTATTAAAGATGGACTCAAAGATATTCCCTAAATTAAGTTTCTCGAGAAAATCTATACCAAGAATGCAATCATCATTAATTTTTGCTACTAACATTGGAATTTCAACTAAATAGCTTCCTAGCCGAACTTTTGTGTGCACCTTATAGTTAATTGAAACCTTCTCCCCCGTAGTCAATTCTCAAAATACAACGTTTATTATTTACTTCTCCTTGGAAACAGAATTTCGTTAAATTACGTTTAAACTTATTGAACCTGAAAGAACATTGATTATTATTACAACTAAAGTTTTTCGGGGTATCTCTCAAATTAGTCGAACGCACCCCGCAAAGTTCGACTATTCCCGGTTTACCGACTTACCTGGGCATTCTGATCAGAAATATCCCTCTTTATCGCATTCCCAACATTCTTTATTATTGCTTTTTTTAATTTCCTTAAAATCCCTTTCCTTTTCAAATTTTTAAAATCTATTTTTATTAAATTTTCTTTCTTTGTCTTCATCTTCGTTCTGATTCTTTT